CTTATTATGATTGTTTTTCCTAAAAGTTTTGTTAACTACAATTACCATTCACTTTTCACCTGTGTCCTAGCCAGTCTATTTGCGTTACTATCTATTGACTTTATCCATGTCAGGAGCCCTTTAATAACATCAATCAGCGCATTAATACATTGATGTCTGACATTAACGACCTCGTTTGACACGGACTTCAAATTTCAAACACGCCATTTTCCCTTCGTCATTTTATTCCTTATTTATGGAGTTCAGACGCAATATCCTTCCCGGGAGCAGCAGCAGCAGCATCCTGCCTCCCCCCCTTCCCCCCCCCCTCCCACAGCTGGCACCTTTCTCCCCCCCCTAAATCTACCCCTCCCTATCGCCGCTTCCCCCCTCCCTCCCCCTCCCGTTCGCTTAACGACTTGAAGAGACCCCAAGAACGTTTGTAAGATCTTCCGTGCTTGCCTCTCTTCTTGCTGTCCGTTTTATCTCTTCGTTCCATTTATGTTTTGTTCTTTTTTTTTGGTTGTTTTGTTTTTTTTTTTTTTTCTTTATTTCTGGTTGTAGATTTTTTTCTTCTTTATCCGTCATGCATTCTTTTTTTTTTTTTTTTTTTTTTTTACCTTTCTCCCCCTATTCTCCTTTGCGCTTTATCTTTACCCTTTCCGTTCCTCGTCTTCCCCCTGTTCTTTGCTTTCTCTTCCTGTCCATCTTCCTTTTACCCCTTCTCGTTCTTATTCCTCTCCTCCTCCTCCCCCTTCGCTTTCTCTCCTTCCTTCTCACCCTCTCTCGCTCCTCCTCCTTCTTCTAACCGACTCGGCCAAACAGTTGCAGACGTGTCACTGACCCCACTGTATTATACATACAAATCCCCTTTCCTCTTCTATACGTATCATAACCTATTCTTCCCCCCCTCCCCTCCCCTCTCCTATCTCCCTTCCCTATCCCTAATCACCCTCTTCTTTATCTATCCCTGCGTCCCTCTTTCTATCGGCCTTCGTGTGCGTGCGTGCGTGCGTGCGTCCTACCCCGCGAGGCAACGACCCCCGGCCCATGATAAACGTATCGCCAGATAATAACACGGCCGACCACGCCAACTACGGGGGTCTTCTATAGGAAAAAATTCTGATATTATGTAAACACTCTGGCTACGTGTTACATCACATCACCGCGAGAGGTCTGGATTCCGTTTCGTAATTCATGTTTGATAATCAGAGGGGGTTAGGATTTGATTGATTTTTTTTTTGTTATTTATTGAATGGGGAATGTGGGGTTTCCTTTTGTTGTTACCAGGTGAAGGAGTGGTGTGAGGATTTCTGTTGTTGCGATGAGGGGGGAAGAGGAGGAGGGTGAGGGGGGGGGAGGAGGGAGGGAGTAGGAGGAGGGGGAGAGGAGGGAGTGGGAGCAGGAATAATAATAAGACCAACAATAACAACAACACCATAATAATAATAATAATAATAATAATAATATAATAATAATAATAATAATAATAAATAATAATAATAATAATAAATAATAATAATAACAATAATAATACAATAATAATATCATAATCATAATAATAATAGAATGAGGCTACTAAAAAGAAGACGAAGGAGAAGAGGGGGAGGAGAAGGAGGAGGAAGGAGGGGGAGGAATCGATGAGCAGCCAGTAGAAGCCACGCAGGAAAACCCACTGATAAACCAGGTGTGAGGTCATAAGAGCAGAGAGTGAGATCACGGGACAAGAGAGCGAACAATTCCTCGTTTCCCAATACTATTCTCATTTATCAACTCCGCTTATGTGTAGATCCAGAAGGAGAGGTTCAGAGAGGGGCAAAAAGCTCACCGCAGCTCCACTTCGCACCTGCTCTTAGATAAACCTCCAGAGCTCACCTCCACTCGTCCCAACACCTCGTCTCGGCTAATTAAACGACCCGTGGACACCGCTTGAAGTCACGTGCGAGGAAACGGAGACGCTAATTTCCTCCCCTCCCGAGCGCTTAACTAACTCTCCGAAATAACTCAAACCCGTTTTGAAGAAGATTAAAGAAAAATAAGAGAGGCGTTATATACCGCGAGTTATGAATCTCGAAAATTCTCCTCTCGCTCTCTCTCCTACCCCCCCTCCCCTCCCCTACCACCATTCAGCACCCACAGATGTTTCGAGAAGTAAACATAATCCCAGGTGTTCGGACGAGTTTCTCTCTCCGTCGACATGTGGGCAACATGACAGCCGAGAGAGATGACAATGCCTGTGCGTGAATGGCTGCGTAAACGGTGGATTTTTCCATTGATTGGCCATGCCCATATAAACAAGCTATGGGATCGATGCGTCTCCCATATCGACGGCCCTTTATTGAAATCTATGTTAATCACTTCAAAGAATGTATTGATTCTTAATAGGTCCCCCTTCCCTTTTCCACCATTCGCTCTTAGTCGTCTTCTCTCTCTACTACCTCTCCCTCCCTCTCTTGCTTCCCTCTCCTCTTCCTCTCTCTCTCTCCCTCTCTTCTTCCACTCTCCTCTCTTCTCCTCCCATCCGCACCTCTCCCTCTCCCTCTCTTTCCTTCCACTCTCCTCTCCTCTCCTCATCCGCACCTCCTCTCCATCACCAACAAACCATTTCGCGACCAACACAATGACACTAACCTGCGGCGGTGGTCGTGTCTGTCTACCCGTGTCAGCTGACAGGTCTGAGGTGGGGACTCGCGTGTTTTCCTCCAGGACCCCTCCAGGTTGACTCTCTCTCTCTCTCTCTCTCTCTCTCTCTCTCTCTCTCTCTCTCTCTCTCTCTCTTCTCTCTCTCTCTCTCTCTCTCTCTCTCTCTCTCTCTCTCTCTCTCTCTCTCTTCTCTCATCTGTCTATCTGTCTGTTGTCAGTCTGTTCTATATATCTGTCTGTTTGTCTGTCTCTGTCTCTCTCTCTCTCTCTCTCTCTCTCTCTCGTCTCTCTCTCTCTCTCTCTCTCTCTCTCTCTCTCTCTCTCTCTCTCTCTCTCCTCTCTCTCTCTCCCTTCTCCCCTTTCCCTATTCGCTCCTCCTCTCCATAAATCTTACACGCCGGCTTCAGCACGCATTCATCCGCTCTTTGTTCGCCACCCACCCTGCCTAAATTCGCCTATCCATTAATCTATCCCATCTACATCCACCCACTCATCCATCTATCGAACGCGCAGTCACTCATTAATCCAACCAACACTCACCCATCCACCCCTTCAACCACATTTCTCACCCATTCACCCATCCAAACAACTCACCCATTCACCCATCCAACCAACTCATCCATTCACCCCTTCAACCACATTTCTCACCCATTCATCCATCCAAACAACTCACCCATTCACCCCTTCGACCACACTTCTCACTCACTCCCATCTGCCAATATCTGTTTCCCTCATGATCTCTTTCCGACCCTCATCCTCACCTCACCCTTCACCCTTCACCCTCCCGAGCGGCCCAACGACCCTCCCATCATCTCCTCCCCCTCCCCCCCACCCTTATTTACCCCCTGCTGACTCCCCCATCCCGACCTCCCCATGGCTCCCTTGCGTAAACAGGAGAATATGAATGGTCATGGAATGGATAGTGTGACGGAGGGGCCACACCAGCTCGACGATGAATGGGACGAAGGAAACGGGAGGAAGGAATGATAATGAGACAGAGAGAGGGGAATGGGAGAGAGAAAAGAAAGCAGGAAAAAAAAGAGGATGAAGACGAAAGGAGGTAAATTTGATCGGCAAAAGGCTGGCTGATTCGCACCGCAAACGTTTGGTTCCGAGAAAACGTTCGGTGCAGGAAAAACGTTATTTTTAAGTCTTCCCCGAACACACAGTGAGTCACAAGTCAAAGCGGGATAACACAAGATTCTTAGAAAACGGAAGCTTGGCGGGGGGAAGGGGGGGCGGGAAAGATACGTGACGCATTGAGGGAGGGAGGGAGGGAGGGAGGAGGGAGGGAGGAGGAGAAGAAAGAAAGAGAGAGAGAGAAGAGAGAAAGGAGAGAGAGAGGAGAGGAGAGGAGAGAGAGAGGAGAGAGAGAGAGAAGAGGGAGGAGAGAGAGAGAGAGAAGAGAGAGAGAGAGAGAGGAGAGAAGAGAGAGAGAGAGAGAGAGAGAGAGAGAGAAGAGAGAGAGAGAGAGAGAGAGAGAGAGAAGAGAGAGAGACAGAGACAGACAGAGAGAGAGAGAGGAGAGTAGGAGGGGAGGTCGACACATCACGCCTGCACTCAGGTCATGACCCCAAAGGGTTGAAAGAGAGCGATGTCGCACGGAGGAGAAAGAGAGAGGAGAAAGATACACTAGAATGACGGTGCGAAATAGAGCAAGAACACAAGCTCCCTAACAAATACGTAAAACAAATAAATGAAGAAAAAAAAAAAAAAACGGATGAAGCAAAACGTTGACAGGAAACAAAATGAAAGACGCAGATATAAGGTATCAGGAAACGTGCGATGGGGGGGGGGGGGGCGAGGTGTGTGCATGGGGGAGGGGGTAGGAGAGGGGGGGGGCAAAGCAGAAACGGGACACGTGTGCAGTCCTGACATACTTCCTCAGAGACGCAAATACTCCACGAAATGCAAGGAAATGTGAACATAGAGAAGGGGGAAAAGAAAAAGAAAGTAAGAGAGGAGGAGGAGAGAGCGAAAGGGTCAACGAAACAAAGAAGGGACACGAAGGTAAGAGGGAGAAAGAAGGCACGAGGGAAAGTAGGAGAAAGAGGGCAAGAGGGAAAGAAAGAGAAAGGGGACATGCAGGAATTGGGGTCTGGAACGAAGGGAGAAAAATATCAGCAGGGAAAGGGGGACAGAAGAGAGAAGAGGAAGGGAGGGGGAGGGGAAAGGACCAAGAGGAAGGGAGAGGCAGGAAGGGAGGGGGAAAGGGCCAAGAGGAAGAGAGGGTCAGAGCCAGGTAGCGAAAGAGCCACGGTGGCCCTGAGTCTATAAACCAGGTAATCACCTCAAACAAAGGCAAATAACAACAGCGCGAGTGCGGCGACCAAAGCCCTGACCCACAGGAAGTTCATGCGGCTGTGCGTATGTATTACCTTTGCCGGAGTCCACTTGGTTGTTGTTGAGGACGTCGCTGTCCGTGCTGCCGGTCGGGGAGTGGTGCCGCTGGGGGTAGCCATGGTGGTGGAGGCGTCGCTGAAGGCAGTCCACAACTTCCTCCTCCTCCTCCTCCTCCTCCAGAGTCTCTAAGCTCCCGCCGGGCTCCTCCGCTAGTGTCCTGTGCACCCCCATGGCGCGGTCTCGCCGTCAGGGTGGTGGTGACGCTACAGCTCGCCCGGGGACACGACCCGCCACTTGCCCTGCGGACACCAGCTGTTGGTGCTGCGCGTGGGCGGGCTCTCCTCCCGGGGGATTTCTTATTTACCGCGCTTCCAGCTGCCGTCAGCACCTCACGTAGGCGTCAGCAGGCGCGCCTCCGTCAGCAGTAACAGGTGTGGGAGCAGCGCTCGCGGGGAGGGAGGCCTGGCTGGGCAGAAACACTCTCACCGCCCGCGATGCCTCCAGACGGTTCCTTGTCGCCGCGGCTGCACCGAGCTCCGCCTACGGTCTGCTCGCTGCCCGTCGGCCTCTCCGCTCGCTCTCTCCGCCTCTCTCTTGCTTGGGCGCCCAGATCACAGGCGCCGATTCCTCCGATTAGGCACTAGGTTTTGTTACGATTAGTGTATTCATGTATCACCACTAGTTAGATTTGTTCTTGTTCCTGTATTGCATTCCTGAGATATAGATATAAAAAAGCCTTTAAAATCACAGATAAACAGAAGCTTCGCGATTGTATGTATATACACATTAAAAAAAAAAATCCACGCCATAGATGCATCCTAAGAACGCCATCCTACCCCCCCAAACTCCCCCTTAAACCCTTAAAAATAAGAAATAAAAAACGGTTCTAAGCCTAAAAGCAATCATCTGGCACTGTGTCGGCACCGCTCCCCCCCCCTCTCTCTCTCTCCAGTGGCACCCACGCCCTCCCACGCACCGCCGCCCCTGTACGCCCACGTGGCTAAACCCTTCGAGACTCTCCACAATACTAATGCTGGACAAGATGGAACGGGCGGGCGGATGAATGAATGGATGTGTGTGCGTGTGTATGTGCGTGTGTGAGGTGTTGGTTTATGCGTTCATGAGTATAGGGACATGTGTGTGCATGAGTACAGGAGAGTAAGAGAAAAAACCCACAAAAATTTCGATCCCATTCTTCCTACACCTTGGTTTCTATCCTCAATTATTCCTACCATCATCCATCTTCCCCTCTTTAACCCTTCCTCCTCATACCTCCCCTATTCGTCCTTCCCTTCCTGCTATCCTACTCATTCCTCACCTTCCTTCTCTTCTTCTTCTCCTCCTCCCATCTCTTCCTTCTTCCCACCTGCTCCCCCATCCCCTGCCTTCTTCCCACAGCACTTCCTGCGGCGGCGCCCGAGCCGCACGGCGTCGCAGGTGGCAAGTAACGCGAAGGCGGCGAAGGAGCCCTCGAGGGAGGCCATATGTCACGCCTGGGTCGCATCTAACTGTACGTGAGCCGCTGTCTGCCCCCACCCGCCCGCCCGCCCGCCCGCCCGTCCGTCCGCCCGCACGAGGAACTGTGTCGAGAAAGTGGGTCATCCGCGAGCAACGGTGGATGGGAGCCGCCGCCGCCGCCGCTCGAACGGCCGCCGCCACGAGCGGTTGGCCTTCACTTTTTCCCACCATCGCCAGCGCAGCCTCTGCCCTCGCCGTACCTTCCATCACAACGACCTGCCGCCCCAGCTGCAGCTTCCTTCTCCCTGTGGCTCTCCTCCATCTCTGTCTTCTCCTTACTCCCATTCCCCCTTCCCTTCGTTCCTTCCCTCATGCATACCGTTACTCCTCTTCGCCTCCGCCCCGCATGTGCCTACACAGGGTCTCAGGTGTGAGTACACCGGGTATTTATAGTGCCAAGCTGAGGATCAGAATGTCAGCTATGCCGCAGCGGGATTCATTGCTGGTGGAAGTGGTGGTAATGGTGGAGGTGAGGTGGTGGTCGCCGTGTTGGCTGCTGCTGCTGGTGCCTCCCTGTCTCTCTCCCTCCCCCCGGACCATCGCCACCACTCTCTCCTCTTGCTCAACCACCGCCTACACCATCAGCTGGATCACACTCCCTCCCTCCGTCGCGAATCTAGGCTCCAGAGCGGCTCTCGGGTCTTCCTCCACCCGCGGTCCCTTGGCTCGAACGTTCCACCTGCTACAGAAAACCCACCTGGCAACTTTGACAATAGGGAAATCGAACGTGCACAAGGCCGTGCGTTGAGCAACCCACTCTCACCCTTTACGTGCCCTTCCCAGTGAATGGGAATCCCATAGGCGCACTAAGCATCGTCACCGCACGTGCATATGGCCCACTTGGCCCACTTGGCCTCCGTTCCTTGCGAATCACGACCCTTCCGTCAAGTACCATCCGGGAGGTCACTCGCGTGCCACAACTTGCCAGACGTCGATATCTGACTCACAGGTTGTCTCCCGAGGATCAAGTCGTGTTTCACTTTTCCACACATTCACTAATTACGGTCGTTTGGTAAGCAACGACGAGCTCACACGGTCCTGGTAATTGCCACGTCTGCACCTCGCCATTTGGACCTCAGCTTGGATCAGGCACGTTCTCTTTCTCACTGCGTTTGGCCGAGCAACCGACTCGCCCCTGAGTCACACTTGCTTCTCTTACCACAAATAATCACTCAAAGCACCAGTAATCCAGTTTCAACGGCGTGTACATTGATGTAAAGTGAGCCGTATGGAGAGCCGTGGTCCCGCGCACAAGTACCACGAGTCCGATCAGCTGACTACTGACTGAAACAGCTGAGTGTCACAACACGACCACCTGATACGGACCGAGTTGCCAACGCGCACATTTTCCCCGACCGACTAAACGTATCCAGTATGGCGCTGCAGGGGCAACTTGCCATATTGTTAACTATTACTAAGATATGCTGAGGATTCGCAGTATTTATCCATTATAAAATTTTAGGAAATGAATGACAGGGAGACTAAATAACAACAACTTTACGGAAAATGCGAAACTGTCAATCGTCTCCCAAGGATTCCTCCAATGTACTGCACACCCAGTAGCTCCACATAAAAAAGTAAATTAGTTTTTCAAGGATGAATTTTCTTTGGGGTACCTGTATTCACCATCCCTTAAGAACTCTATGCATTAGCTATCCTTTGTCTCTGCCCCCCTCACCCCCACCCCCCCACACTCCCTCTCACTCTCTCTCTCTCTCTCTCTCTCTCTCTCTCTCTCTCTCTCTCTCTCTTCCTCCCCCCCCTCTCTCTCTCTTCCTCCCTCTCTCCTACTCCCCTCTCTCTCTTCCTCCCTCTCTCCTACTCCCCCTCTCTCTCTTCTCTCTCTTCTCCCACCCTCTCTCTCTTCCCTCCCTCCCTCCCTCCCTTCCTCTTTCTCTCCTCTCACGTTCCTCACATCTGGCCAGTGTCTGAACCCGCACAAAAAATGGGCTAATCGTCTACGCAAACAGTGTGGCGACAGTACTGAATACAGGTGACGAAAGTGGTTCACGATGAGTTTTTATCTATTCGTCTGTCTGTCTGTCTGTCTGTCTGTCTGTCTGTGTCTCTCTTCTCTCTCTCTCTCTCTCTCTCTCTCTCTCTTCTCTCTCTTCTCTCTCTCTCTCTCTCTCTGCCCCCTATCATATCCACTTACCTCCTTCCTTCCCGCCTCTTTACCACATGCTCCTCTCAATTATCCTACCCACGTCTCCTTTCACTCCCCTCTCCCTCTCTTTCTCGCTTTCTCTCTATCCTCCTTCTTTCCCTCTTACTTTCCAACTCACAGGAGACACCCGCACAGGCCGCCTAACTTTTCGTTGTCGATGAAAGGCACAGAAGCGCTGTCCAGTTTCCTCTCCCTTCCCTCCCCCTCTGCCTTATTTCTTTTCCCTTCCCTCCCTCCCTTTTTTTCCATTCTTCCCCCTTTCCATCCTCATATTTTTCCCTCCCTCCCTTTCTTCCCATACTCTATCTCCCTCCCTTCCCCTTTTTTAAATCCCTCCCCTCCCTCTCCTCTTCTTCCCTTCCCTCTCCTCCCTCCCTCATTCATCCCTTACCTTTCCTCTTCTTCCCACTCCTATTTTTGCTTTCCCCTCTCACTCTCTCCTCTTCTTTCCCTTCCTGCTCCCGTTTTCGCTTTCCTCTCTCTCCCTCTCCTCTTCTTCCCCTTCCTGCTCCGTTTTCGCTTCCCCCTCTCCCTTTCCTCTTCTTCCCCTCCTGCTCCCGTTTTCGGTTTCCCCTCTCTCCCTCTCCTCTTATTCCCCTTCCCACTCCCGCGTTCGCTTCCCCTCTCTCCCTCACCTCTTCTTCCCCTTCCCACTCCCGTCTTCGCTTCCCCCTCTCTCCCCTTCTCTGACTCCCCGTTTGCGTGCGAGAACAAGCGAGCGAGTGGTCGAGCATCCCGACCCCCCACCCCCCACCCCCCACCCCAATCGCGGATCCTACTTTCCCGTCGGCATCTTGTCAACCAGGATGTCTTCTCGGCCTCATCATGCGTCCGGCGGCTGGTGGAGGTGGAGGTAGCGGTGGAGGTGGAGGTGGAGGTGGAGTAGCGAGGTGGAGGTGGAGGTGCGGTGGAGGTGGAGGTGGAGGTAGCAGTGGAGGTGGAGGTAGAGGTGGAGGTGGAGGTAGCGGTGAAGGTGGAGGTGGAGGTAGCGGTGGAGGTGGAGGTAAGAGGTAGCGGTGGAGGTGGAGGTGGAGGCGGGGTAGAGGTGGGAGTGAGAGCGTGGGTAAAGATGGAGGAGGTGGTGATGGTGTTGGTTGGAGTGAGAGCGGTGGCGGAAGTGGAGGTGGAAGGAGAGGTAGGGGTGGAGGAAGAGGTGGAAGTGGAAGAAGAGGAGGATATGGAAGTGGAAGAGGTGGTGACTGAGGCGGTGAAGATGGAGGTGCTGGTGAAGCTGGGAATGGGGGCTGGGGTGGAGATGGTGGAAGACGAGGAAGAGGAAAATGAGGAGGGGGAGGAGAAGGAGAAGGAAGAGGAGGAGAGAAGGACAAGGGCAAGAAGGAGTAAAAAAGAAAATCGAGATGAAGCAACAAAACGAAGCGATACAAAACCTTTTCTCTTCTCTCCCTTCCTCTCTCTTCGCAAAATCTTACTTTCACTGCTGCTTGGCTGCTACTTTTAATACAAGGTAGTGACGAGAGAGAGGTAGAGATAGATAGATAGATAGAGAGAGAGAGAGAGAGAAGAGAGAGAGAGAGAGAGAGAGAGAGAGAGAGAGAGGAGAGAGAGAGAGAGAGAGAGAGAGAGAGAGAGAGAGAGAGAAGAGAGACAGAGAGACAGAGAGAGAGAGAGAGAGAGAGAGAGAGAAGAGAGAGAGAGAGAGAGAGAGAGAGAGAGAGAGAGAGAGAGAGAGAGAGAGAGAGAGAGAGAGAGAGAGAGAGAGAGAGAGAGAGAGAGAGAGAGAGAGAGAGAGAGAGAGAGAGAGAGGAAGAGGAGGGAGGGGGAGAGAGAGTCAGAGAGAGAGAAAGAGAGAATGAGAGAGAAAGAGAGAATTAGAGCGACAGACAGACAGACAGACAGAAAGGGAGAGAGAGGGGAGAGGGCAGAGTTTGGCGAGCGTCCAGTACAAACCAGCGTGCATGACTCAAGTTTACGGTTAGCTCTGTGGTAGGCCTATTGTATGTACGTTCCTTCGTGGTTCCCTCTCTGTCTGGTCACGTGTAGGCCGGTGTAGGCAAATCCAGTCCGTCATAACCCAATCAAAGGTCGTCCATTTGTGACTGTGATTGGGACTTACCTTCTCCAGTCAATTGTGCTTGTCCCTTGGTGTGTAGCAGGCGTTGTGGGTGTAAGACACTGCGCCTTTATGAATGATCGTACCTAATACCATAGTAATAAGGTAATTTATGCATGAATCAGCAAGACACATAGATATGTGCATGCATAATCAAATATATAGATAAATAAACAAACAAATAAATATTAAATACATAGAATTATATACGTGAATACAAATATGTATATATATATATATATATATATATAATATATATATATATATATATATATATATTGAATATGCGTGTGTGTGCGTGCATTTGTATGTGCATACGAGTACCATTACATAACGCGAGTGTCTACAGAGCCAGACCAGATCATACTGTTTATGTATCATTCCCACTATGTCACTCCGGGTTGTCAAGCCACCTCATAACAATGCTTAAAAAAAACACATGATTTGATAAGCTTTTTCATTTCAACACAACAGTATGCATGGCGGCTAAACTTCCACTTAGCATAGGCCTTGCGTGAGGTGTCGCCAGGCGCTGGTAATGATGATGGGGGAGGGAGGGGGGAGGGGTACGGGGGAAGGAGGGAGGGGTCATGAATGGCCATGGTGGCTGTACACACCTCTTATGCTGCTACACTTTACTTTCACTTCGTCTGCCAGTATTCGGTGGAGAAAGTCTCTCTCTCTCTCTCTCTCTCTTATCTCTCTCTCAGCGTCTGCTCCCACACCTGCTTCCTCCCCAACCCCCCTGCGAACTCCTCCTTCACCCTCTTACTTGCAATACTCCCAAGTGACTTAATAGCAACCCGTTGCGTTTGCCAATGGTGAAGTTATCGCCCAGCTTTATCTCTCGCCACTTCCATTCGGTAATATTAATCTGGGGTTGCGTACTCGCTCCACGCGTTTCCTATATTAATCATTTTCTAAAACTCATCCTGCGCCCAAAATCTTATCTTACTAAAAAAGCGCTTCGTCGTCGTGTCGGTGCTATTCTTCCTTCGGTGTCCTGTGTGATGGTCTCTAAACATGCCATTTCACGCGCATTTTAAAGGTTCGTGCATTTCTACGCTCCTTATTCTCGCGATAGACCCGGGCCTCGCATAGAAAACGAAGTGAATTTAGAAAATGTAATAGAAGCGGGGGGCAAACTATAGCAAACTGTATCCTCTCTATCCCATAACCAATTCAGGCCCGCGCGACCAAAAACGTCTCGAGGGGCTGCGAACGATGGCAGTTGCATCATTACTTGAGTAACATAGAGTAAAAGTCCGGGAAGCTTTCCGTCCCAGGAGCCTTGAACGTTACCACGGCTGATGCAACGCAACGTGCATGGCGTCACCTTACTACGCCATCCAGCGCGTAGTGATCCACTTAGTCGCAACACATATACTACTCCAGTGTTTTAGTGATTCACTCTTGGTCCGGGCTATCATTCGAAACCTGACAAGAACCCCGCGAACACTTGGAACTTCGCTCCCCGCATAAGTGAGTCTTTGAACTCGTTAAAGAGCGATAACGAGAGGACGCTTAGAGGCCGCGTCCTGTTCTGCATTACAATGACGTTCGTCGATTCGCAAAGGGGAGCGGGCAAGGGTTTCACTGGGCACAGTCATAATGTTCATATTCTGAACGATATGCTTGAGTCGAGTACTTGATTCCGCTGCCCACGACAATGGAAAACCACTCGCTTTCCTCACACCTCGTTATATGTTGGATAACAAGCGAGGCAAGTGGCAAGACAAGATGACGCAAAGTGAATTCTGTTCATCTATGCGTCTCCAACATGAACGCAATTGGCACTCATGGAACAAGATCCTCCGATATGTCAAACAGTTGGGCAGCTGAGCCAGCGCGAGGAACAAGATGAAGCAAGACTAGCACAGATCACGGCATCTGCATTCTGCAATGCGTCCCAGAAGCAAACTCACTACATTCCTCCATCGCACTCGCTGCTTCACATCCTTCACGCTTCCTCCCACTTCCATTCTCCCTTGTTCACATTCTTCACGCTCACTTTTCTGTTAGTACGTATACGCATTTAAGGTCTACGTTATTTTAATTTTACT